ATGTCGTTTTCGCCATCTATTGTAGGTTGTTTTCTCAAAAAAAAAAAAAGGCTTGCAAAAGGGGGGTCACTGGCACCCCATCACCCCCTAGCAACGCCCCTGTAAAGTAAGACGAAAGTAGGCGGTGATGAGAAAATAAGGTGAGAGAAAAGGCAAGGAAATACTGATAACATTACTTCTGCCATTCACATTTGCCAGTATGGCTCATTGGAGTAGTTCATGAATACAGAACTTGCTCAATCTCCTTTCATACGAACAACAGACACAAGATAGTTTTTCTTGTCAACTTTGTTTTATGCTACATTTCTCAGTGATGGAAGATGACCGAAAATGGCTGTTTTCTTATGTCCGCTTTGATGGCCAGAACAAAACAAATGAATGCACATGCGTGCCTGCAGCTTGTGCTTCTAGCAGTAGCCTCCATGTATTACTTTTTCATGGACTTTCACAGAACACGTAAAAAGTAATTTAAAAGACCGTGTCGTTGAGTTCGCTGCTTTAGGGTTAGGAAACTCCTGATCACTCCTACTGACCTTGTGTTATGACTGCATAGTTTTCTGTTTTCCCGCCGCTCTTCGAATCCAAACCCCAGCGTGCTTAGCTGCTTCTTTTATGCTCAGAACGTCCGAGAGATGTTTCGTTAAAGACAAACATTCCGGCGTTCATCGAAATTCACTGTCAGACGTCTTTCAAATGTACCTATTAATGGTTTGCCCCAGAATGGGGGAGGGGGAGGGGGTTCGGGCAACATAGGGGAAATTTGACATTTCAGGTTTTCAAATGTCAATTTCCCCACCCTTGGGTCTCCATTATAAGTCAAATTCCCACCCCTGGTGACCAAAGACCTTGCATAGTACGTTCAACAAAATGATAGGCACTTACAACAAGTTTACTGCAGCACTCCTCCAGAGAGTAAGAGTACTTGTTGGCAAATGGTCCCCTCCAAGTTCGTGCATTTCCCCAAATGAAGAAGGCATATCCTAGATACTTAGCATGGTTCAGTGTTGGTTAGCAATTTCACACACATTTTGTACTGCTGAAAGTACCCGTGAATTGTCTCACACAGTATTTACAGCAATACAAAATGTGCAGTGTCAGAACATGTCGTCATCAAAAGGGGTTAATGCACAAACTTGGTGGTACCAATTATCACAGGTATCACTCTGGATCCATTCTAGAAAATGAGGTCCAGAATTGACCAGAATTTCATTTAATTTGACATTTGGAGTATACTAGCAAATCTATAAAAACAGAGAATATCGAAAACTACGCTATCTAAGAACAAAATGGGCAAATCGATACCCTATCTGTGACCAAAACGGCTGAAAAACCCTACCCTTTGGGGC